ATCCTTCTGCCTCAACTTCCCAAGTGGTAAGATCATACACAACCACAACTGGCTTTCAGATCCCTATTAGATTGTTGTTTTGTCTGGTTTTGTTTTGAGACTGCCTCTCTCTCTCCCCGAAGTTCTGGAGCTCACTATGTAGACCAGGCTAGCCTCAAACTCAGAGATCCTTCTGCCTCTGCCTCTGCCTCTCAAGTGCTGGGATTAAAGGAATGTACCACCACACCTGCCTAGATATTTGTTTGTTTTAGGGTCTCACTTTGTAGCCCTGGCTGGCCTGGAACTTAATAATGTAGACCAGCTGGTCTTGAACTTACAGAGGTCCAACTACCTCTGCCTACCAAGTGTCGAAATTAAAGACATGGGCCACCACACCTCCGACTGCCAAGAATTTAATGCCAACCTGTGCTATATAGTGAGTTCCAGGCCAGTCAGGACTACAAAGAGATCCTATCTCAAATAGATTAGGGGAAACCATACTCATTTCAATTAATTTCAACTGCATTACTTACTAATGGCCCTCATGAAAGAGAATGAGTGGGAAATAAAACCAGAAGCTAAAACTTTAATTGAATTATCCACAATGTGATATCATTCTCAGGTGTCGGGCTTAGCCTACAGTACAAAAACCATCAAGTTAGAGAGATGAATACACCAAAGCCTTTCCATACCATCGTGACTGTTGACACTCCCAGGATCATTCTGTCCTTTTCTCCCCATGATGGTTACCATCTATTACCATAGAGGACAAAATATCACTCTTTTTATTTTCCATTTATTATTATGATTCCCTATGTGTGTGCTTGCTCATGCATACTATGGTGCATGTTCAGAGATGGAAGTGCATGCATGCCATGGTGCATGTTTAGAAGTACAGCTGGTTCTCTCTTTCCATCTTTATGTGGGTTCCAGAGGTTAAATTCAGGAAGGCAGGCTTGCATGGGGTAAAGCACCTTTAATGGCTAAGCCATCTATCTCCCTGGCCCCCAGCCCAGATCCCATTTTTAATTTTTCTTTGAAACCGGGTCTTACTGCTTTGTGACCCACAGGTGCTGGAATTACAGGTGTGTGCCACCATGCCCAGTCCCAATATGTTTGTTCTTTTGAGACAAAGTCTCTCTATTGTAGTCCTGGTCCTTGATATGTAGTTCAGGCTGGCTTTGAACTCACAGAGGTCCTCCTGCCTGTAACTCCCAAGTACTGGAATTAAGGCATTTGCCACCATACCTGGCCCAATACCTTTTTAGTAGCAATTCTATTTACTTGTAGAGCTTCAGAACTGAATAGAATGTGAAGATCATATATCTCCCTACCTCTATTTTATTCTTAGACTGTTTTCTGTGTTTTCAGTTCCCTTCTCAAGCGTGGCTCCTACCTCAAAGTTTCTCCTTCCTCAATACCTATTCCTAGCAGTTTCTCCTATCACAAACTCCTATATCCTCATGGACTCTATAACTATCACCATCCCTATTTCAATATAGCTTTAGTCTCTGCCAACAAAGACCCTTAGTTTTAGTCCTCAATCATAACTAGTCACCTCAGTGACATCCAAAAAGCCTTCTTCAGCTAAGCCATCTGTTGGAGCCTGTGTCCAGCACAGGTCCCAGTTCCTAACTCACCTTTGTACTTACTTCCCTGCAGCTCCTTAATCACAGAATCAATACAGAAAGAAAACTCAGAAAGAATCCGATCCATTGCTTCTCAAACTAAAAAACAATGGCGGGGCTGGAGAGAGGGCTCAGAGGTTAAGAGCACTGACTGCTCTTCCAGAGGACCTGAGTTCGATTCCCAGCAACCACATGGTGACTCACCACCACCTGCAATGAGATCTGGTGCCCTCTTCTGGCCTGCAAGGACACATGCAGACAGAACACTGTATACATAATTAATAAATAAAATCTTTAAAAAAAAATAAAAAATTAAAAACAATGGCAAAAAGCTGGACATTGTGGCACATGCCTTTAATCCCAGCACTAGGGAGGCAGAGGCCCAAAGATCTCAAGAGTTCAAGGCCACTATGGTCTGGATGGCCCAAGCTACATAGTGAAACCATATGGCCACTATGGTTCCAGGAAAACCCAAGCTACATAGTGAAACCATGTCTCAAAAGACCAAAAAACCAGGACCCAGCAGTGGGGGCCCATACCTTTAATCCCAGCACTCAGGAAGCAGAGGCTCTGTAAGCTCAAAGCCAGCCTAGTCTACAGAGAGTTCCAGGACAGCCAAGGCTACACAAAGAAATTCTGTCTAAAAAGGAGGAGGAGGAGGAATAATAATAACAAGAAGAAGAAGAAGAAGAAGAAGAAGAAGAAGAAGAAGAAGAAGGAGAAGGAGAAGGAGAAGGAGAAGGAGAAGGAGAAGGAGAAGGAGAAGGAGAAGGAGAAGGAGAAGGAGAAGGAGGAGAAGGAGAAGAAGAAGAAGAAGAAAAAGAAAAAGCAGGTAGCCCGGAGGAGGAGGAATAATAATAATAATAATAATAATAATAATAATAATAATAAGAAGAAGAAGAAGAAGAAGAAGAAGAAGAAGAAGAAGAAGAAGAAGAAAGAAGAAAGAAGAAAAAGAAAAAGCAGGTAGCCCGGGCTCACCTTGAGCCCACCAGGCAGTATTACAACTCAAAATACCCATGGCTCAGCCTCCTGGGTGTCAGGATTATAGCTGTGTGTCACCACACCCAGTTTTCAAACTTTAGCTACATTTTACTGTATACACCGTAAGAGGTACAAACCTAACTTTACATCATCATTGCAAACATCCATACCTGAAACCCATTTCATAAATCCTTACTCTGAGAACACAATGGAAGTTTCTATTCTAGTCCAGCTGACTGTCTTACTCCGTTGCTAAACTGTCTTCACAACCCAACAACACATACCCTGGGACTCATAGTTGGGAGACATTAATCCGAACCCGAACTTCCCATTCACTAATGAAGAAGAGGTAACTCAGTGGTGAATTAAGTTTCTCACCCACAGAACTTTGCCTGTAGAATTCAAACTCTTGTCCGCTAAGTCACGCCAGTCTGGTTTCTACTTAAGACCTCTGCCAGGTCACTCACTCACTCACTCACTCAACACTCTGTACACAAACACAACTTCGGTGCACCGACCCCAATTCCTGATCTTACGTTCTTCTCCAAGTCAGCCCCTCAAAGTCACTGCTTGTGGGTGAGCGTGCCCTCGCAGCCGCTGCTTCGTGTCCCCTGGGGTCAAGCCCCTCTGTCACTATCCATCGATCACTCCGTCCCCCGGCAGTCACTGCTGCATACTTACTCGGTCATGGTCCCGTCGCAGCCTCTGCCTCGTGCTCTCCGAGGTCAGAGTCCCTGGCATTTACTGCTCCGGGGTCGCAGACCCCTCACCAGCAGCCACCCCTGGGTCACAGTCCTCCTGGCTGTCATTGTACCTCGGTCACAGTAGCCTGGCAGCCCTGCTTCACACTTCCCTGGCTGTCACTGACCTACTCTTCAGTCACAGCCCCCTCACGGTCCCGGCCGGCGTTTGTCCACGCAAGCAAGCACTACCCCGGGGTTCCTTACCGCAGCCCTCCCAGGCTCCAGTCCCGTCCGATTCCTTCCTCGCGCCGCGTCACCGACTAGCGAAGTCAAATAGGTTGCGGGGTGACGCCCGGGAAACATCTGACCGGACTGCGGACCGGAAGTCCCGCCTACCGCCCGCCCTCTTGTCAATCCCTCCACCATAGCCCTGAAAACCACAACTTGACATAGTAGTTCCGCTTCCAGCGGGGGCCGGGCCGGTGGAGTGACGGAGCAGAAGCACCGGAGACAGGCGCGGGGTCAGCAGCCCCGGAATACCGGATGTGTGGCGCCTCCTGCCGGCGGCGGCTCGCTCGGCCTGGGGTCTCCCGGCGTCCCTTGCGCCCTCCGCCCCTCGCACTCGTTCACACGGGTGGTCCTGACATCCCACCTCGCCGAAGAATTCGAGTCCGCTAGCCATGTCCCGGGGATGCTCGGGTCTGCGCTCTCCTCTTCCGGTGCTTTTGACCTAGGTTGACCCACCAGAAAGTGATCCCTCCGAACTGACTGAGAAAGTAGTTGGGCAGCAGTAGAGGCGAGGGCACGGGTGGGAAAATGCGTGCATCAATCAGGGTGTGCAGTCAAGAGAAGGAACTTCCTACGGTGAACTCTGGGAAGGATTGTGCTTTGTAGAGGTTTCTTTTCCTCTTGTAAGATTTTTGCGGGTTCACAGAGGCCATAAACCAGGCCACAGATATCGTGGAGCTGGAGTTACAGGCCTTTGAGCACCTTTATGGGTGCTGGGACCTGAACTCTAGTCCTCTGATAGAAGAGTAAGCGCTCTTAACTCTTAACCACGGAGCCATCGCTCCATCCTCTTTGTGGGACGGGATGGTGATGGTGGGCTTGTTTCGAAATTAAAAGTAACTTTATCAGACAGGGTCTTACACGATTTCCCAGACTGGCCTGGAACTTGCTATGTATCCCAGACTGGCCTTGAATTTGCAGTGGGCCTCTTGCCTAAGCCTCCAGAATGCAGGCATTAGCCACCACACCCAGTGGGATTTTGTAGATGTAAGGGAAGTGGGCACATAAAGTTACAAAAGAAAGATGGGAAAAACAAAACAACTTTAATGCATTTGTTTGTTTGCACTTTTCACTGGAAGATAACCAAGAAGAAAGAGCCTGGGTAAACATGTGCATCTGCTGAGGTGCTTCCAAGGAGAAAAATGATTAAACTCTGACACACACACCCCTTTAAGTTCAAGTAGGTATTTTGACACAGCAGATAAAATGGCCCAAATAAAGACAGCTAGCTGGAGGAGACACCAAGGGCCTCTCTGGGGAAGAAGGCCATCACAAAAATAGTATAGATTGTAGCCAACACAGAAGTCTCCAAATTTTAAGGGGTTCTACTTTATATACAACTTGAAACTTCTCAGACCCTGACATTAAACAAATGTAGTAAGAGCTCAGATAGCATAATAAAGTCAAACCATTAAATATATAAAACCTAAACAACAGATTTTAGGTGCCAAAGTGCCATCTTATTTTTATTTGGTCAGAATATTTAACAACATGGAAAAGTTAAGGTGTCTTCGTAGTCACAGTCACTCCTTCCAAAGATTCAATAGTAGAAACAACCAAACGCTGCTACAACACAGAATAAGCTGTCCTAGAAAACATAAAAAAGACAGAAAACAGAAATCCAGGATGTTAGTGCTAATGAGAAAGTAGGCCAACACAGGCAACTGAAATTAACACTATACTAGTGTTATATACTAGACCGTTGTTAATTTTCTTTTTAACTTTTTCTTGAATTTTTGGAAAATCTTGATACGTAACCCAAAAGACTTCAACATAGACAATCAAAGTTGAAATGATCTTTCTGCCTCAGCCTTCCAAGTGTAGGGATGACAGGTGTGACCCTCCATACCCTTCTTGTCAACTTTCAATTATGAAGATTTCTTCCTTTAAAAACAATGTTTCCAAGGAGCAGCTATAAACTTGTTTTCCTGAGGATACCTACAAGACTGCTTGCTAAAAGGTAAGTAGGGTAGGAGGGGAGTTGGAAGAATGGATTAATTGAGGCAGTCTATTTGCATGTATGGAAATGCCAGTGAAATCCATTATGTATAATTAACATGCACTAATCTAATATTTGAGGTTGAGGAAGGAGGACAGAGAGTGGGAGGTCAGCCTCTGTAATTACATATATATAGTTAATTATATAATTAATTATATATGTATAATTAATTATATGGTGTGATGGTGTATGGCTTTAATGCCAGCTCTCAGTATACAGAGGCAGGATCTGAGCTCGAGGCCAGCTTGGTCTACATAGAAAGTTCCAGGACAGCCAGGGTTATATAGTGAGACTCTTGTCTTAAAAAAAAAAAAAAAACAGCCGGGCAGTGGTCGTGCGCGCCTTTAATCCCAGCACTCTGGCAGCAGAGCCAGGCTGATCTCTGTGAGTTCGAGGCCAGCCTGGGCTACAGAGTAAGTTCCAGGAAAGACTCCAAAGGTACACAGAAAAACCCTGTCTCAAAAACAAAAACAAACAAACAACAACAACAAAAACCAGGCTGGAGAAATGGCTCAGTGGTGAAGAACTCTTACCGCTCTTGCAGAAGACCTAAACGGTTCCCTGCACCTACATCAGGTGGCTCATAGGGGATCAATCTGATACTCTCTTCTGACCTCTGGGGGCACCTCACATGAACATACCCACAACACACACACATATATATTTATATATACTTATATTATAAATATATATTTAAAAATAATTTTAAAGACAGACAATGAGGTAAAATAACGGAAGATAGATAAAGAATCAGATTTTTAAATTAATGTGAATGAAACTTTAGGTAATGCATATTCATTACCCAGAGCAAGGACTATAGAATACTATGTAATGGTATCATAATATGGACAGTAACAGCATATTATCATCCACTCTGGATAGAGAAGACAGCTTCCCACATGCTAGGCAAGCTCTTTGAACTTTTTTTTTTGGAGCTGAAGATCGAACCCAGGACCTTGTGCTTGCTAGGCAAGCGATCTACCACTGAGCTAAATCCCCAACCCCTGCTCTTTGAACTTTTTACTTTGTAACAGGATCCTCACTAAATTGCCCAGGCTTGTGGTGGTATTTTACTTATACTGAAATGTGATTTTAATTGTATGTTAATAAATAAAGTTGTCTGGGGGTCAGAGCTATTAGAGTCATAGCAAGTGTGTGGTGGCGGTGGCACACGCCTTTAAGGACCTGGAGGGCGGTACATTCAGGCAGTGACGAGGCAGTCACATGTTTGGGTTTACAACCAATGAGAAGGCAGAACAGGAAGACTTTAAAGACAGACACACAGGAAGTAGGTCCTTTTTGGAGAGCTCTCTTGGCTGGAGAGGATCCCTGAATCAGGAAGGGTGAGGCTCTTAGCTCTGACCTCTTGGCTTTCTTCTCTGAATTGGCTCTGTGTTTCTTATTTAATAAGACCGTTGGTTACATCTACACAGGCTAGTCTGGAATTCATTCTTTGCTAAGTGAATCTCCAACTGGAGATCCTCTTGCTTCAGCCTCTTGAGTGCCTGGAACTAGAGGCCTGCATCACCAGGCCCAGCTTTACTTGTTCATCTTTTAGCTTACAAATCACAAGTGCTTTGCAGAGCCCAGTTAAACTTGTTAACATTTTAAAGAACTTACTACAGGAGTTCTAGCTGACTTAGCAATTAATGGCTGTCATACAAACTTACTCCAGCCCGGTAGCAGTGAGAAAAACAAGCTGAACTCAAGTACCTAATTATCAGCCCGAAGCCAATCCTTTGGTGGGCAGCCTCCAGTTCCTTGGCTGGGTGTGTGTGTTCTAACAACAGCATATCTGTGGTGGAAGACTTGTTCGGGTTTTTTTTTTTAATTTGCATTTATTCACAGAGTGACACTTTGGTTTTGTTTGTGGGGTTTTACAGGGGTGGTTTTGGAGGGTTTTCAGATAGGGTCATATGTAGCCATAGCCTTGGACTTCTTACCCTCCTGTCTCCAGTTCCCAAGTGCTAAGATCAGAGGCATGTTCCACCACATCCACTTTAGAATGACACTTTTGTAAATCCTGGCAACTAGCAGGAGCATGTGGGAAACCATCTACAGACTGAGAATCACTGATCCAAACTTCAGCTTTTTGATCAGAATCTATTTGCAAAAGGCCCTGGCATCTATACTTTTAAAGAAGTTCCCTCAGTATTAGGAAGCCACACCCATCTCTGGAAAGCCTACTTTCTAATATTCATGATGCAATCTCAGAATAATCCAGTGATTTCCTTCAAGTCAATCAAAGTGACGCAGTTGGAAATGGAACCCCCTTCCTTGTCTACACAGTTCGATTTCTGTTCTGCTCTGCTAACTACGACTCTACTAATTACAACCTGGGAGGACTTTAGTATGGGGTGATTTCTGGAAGCAAGTATCAGTAAGTTACCTGGAACACACGCACCAATAACTTACCGATGTTTAAATGAAACCTTTTTGTGCTTGTTTGTTTTGGATGTCTTGTGTGTATGTATGTTTGCTGAATATTTTTTTTTTATTTTTGAAATGGTTCTCATGTAGCCCAGGCTAGCCAAGGATGACTTTGAAGTCCTGATCCTTCTGTCTATACAGCCTCCCCACCCCCAGGTGCTGGGAACATTGACATACACCATTATGCCCAGTTCAGCGAAAGTGATAGGGGAAAGAAAGGATAGATGGGGTACTTTCATATTCTGTATTATAAAACACATTTGCACTTCATATTGTAGAAGGGAATCTGCATATATGTGTGAGCACAATAAACCATTCATTGTTTTTGTTTGTTTGTTTTTGGAGACAAGGTCTATGTATTCCAGGCTGTACTGGAACTAGATTATAGACCAGGCTGGCCTTGATCTGCCTGCATCTGCCTTCTGAGTGCTGGGATTAAAGGTGGCCACTATAATGCCCAGTTAGTTGTCGTGTGTCTGTCCCGTTCCCCACCACCACCACCACCAGCTGAGGATCGAACCCAGGGCCTTGAGCTTGCTAGGCGAGCGCTCTACCACTGAGCTAAATCCCCAACCCTAGTTGTTCTTTAAAAAAAAAAAATCTATTATTTATGTGTTTGGGTGTTTTGCCTGAATTTATGTCTCTGCACAACATGCATGCAATGCCTGTTGAAGCCAGAAGAAGGTGATGGATCCCCTGGGACTAGTGTTACAAAAAGTCTCGAGCCACTATGTAAGGACGAGGAATTGAACCTGGGTCCTTTAGAAAAGCAGCCAATGCTCTTAACTGCTGAGCCATGTCTCTGTCCCCTAGAGGAGTATAAGGTTATTATCAACAGAAACTACTTTTATTCAGTATTGGAAGTTCCTGAGCCATATATCAACTGAATGAAGTAAGCATGTAAGGTATGTTAATGAGAGACACAGAAATCACGGATCTCCAAAACATGGCTGAGCACCTAATCAGAAGGGTAAGACTGAGCTCCAAAACGACTGACTGTCTTTGTCTCCTACCCAGTCCTGTTTCTCTCTGTATCATCTGCTCCTGAAGAGGAGATGCAAGACACACTTTTGAGGATGCTGATCTGCTATCGTCTCAGATTGCCAGCTCTCTGAAAAAGCAGAGATTCAATTCTGTTTCTGTTCAGGCACCTGTGAGCAGCCAGGCAGAAGGAGCTCTGGTTTTCCTTACTTCTTTTTTCACAGCTCCTTTATTTCTCTTTAGTTTTGAGAAGTGGTTTTAAGATAAAGTAGCTAATTTTATAATCAAAAGAAAGTCATCTTTGCTTATAGAATCTTCATCCAAATTCTTTTGTAGCTCAGTGAAGTGTGATATGTTCAAATGAACAGATAGTTTTAAACTAAGATAATTATTACCCTCATAACGATTATCAGGACTGGGTTTTTGGAACACAGTGATTTATGGAGGGGTGTGGTTTGAAAGAAAATGGCCCTCATAGTGAGCTGTGGCCTTGTTGGAGGAAGTGTGTCACTGTGGAGGCAGGCTCTGAGGTCTCTTTTGCTCAGTGTGACAGAGCCAACTTCCTGTTGCCTGTAAGATGTTGGACTCTGAGCTCCAGCACCACGGCTTGCCTGTACGCTGCCATTACCCCCCACCGTGATGCTAATGGGCTGGACTGCTAACCTGTTGTTTCCTTTGTAAGATTGCCGAGGTTGTCGTCTCTTCACAGCAATGGAAACCCTGACTAAGACAGGAGGTTAGGACAGCCAGTCTTCACTATCAGCTTGACTAAGTGTAGAGTCACCTCAGATACACTGCTGGCAAAGTCTGTGGGAGCATTTCTAGAGGGGGTTAACTGAGGAGCAAAGACCTGCCCTGAACACGGGCAAGTCCTCCTGCCGCAGTCCCTAACTGCCCCTGCGGCTGCCAGGCCCTGCTGCCAGGCCTCCCTCACAACAATGGACTCTACTGCCTGAACTGGAAGCCAGGCTCAACCTTTCCTCATTAAGTTGCTTCCTGTCAGGATTTGGTCTCAGCAATAAATAAAACAAGTAGCCAATATGGTGGATAAAGGTTTTGGTTTTGGGTTTTGGTTGGGTTTTTTTTTGTTGTTTGTTTGTTTGTTTGTTTGAGACAGGGTTTCTCTGTATGGCTCTGGTTGTCCTGGAACTTTCTCTGTAGACCAGGCTGGCCTCAAACTCAGAGATCCACCTGTTTCTCTCTGCCTCCTGAGTGCTGGGATTAAAAGTTTGTGCCACCACCATGTGGCATGCGCACAACTATGCTATTAGAAGCCACTTTATCATATTCCTGCTTTAAGTAGATGTGTCTATGAATTCTGCTTATATTTTTTTTCACAAATAAATAGTAAAATTTAAAATAAAACCACTGATGCTGGGCAGTGGTGGTGCACACCTTTTTTTTTTTTTTAAACCAGGCTGGCCTCGAACTCACAGAGGTCTGCCTGCCTCTGCCTCCAGAGTGCTGGGATTAAAGGCGTGTGCCACCATCACCTGGCTCAGTGCCGTACACCTTTGATCCCAGCACTAGGGAGGCAGAGGCAGGTGGATCCCTGAGTGCAAGGCCAGCCTGGTCTATAATTCCAGGATAGCCAGGGTTACACAGAGAAACCCTGTCTCAAAAAAACCACAAAAGTTTCAATAAAAGTACCTTATCCAGAAATCTAAGAGTGTGTCTCAAAAATACTACAGTATCCTCCTCCCTTTTATCAGTAAGCTGATAGACAGTGGCCATATGTCCCCAGATAGGAGAAAGGAGTTTCTCAAAGACTTACATTCATGAAGACATCATGGGTGTAATTGTCAGTGTCTGCATCCCAGAAACACCGAGCAGCCATGCTGAAATGCCAATGAAGATGGTCAGTAGTGCCCATCTGAACCATGCATCTGCAAGTTCACTCCCTATAATCTCACAAGCCCACGCTTCCAAACCCTCCCCTGGCACATGGAGAGAACTGTGTTTGTAAAGCAAAGTATGCTAGACAAGAAGGAAGGTCAGGAGTCACAGATGAGCCTGCTTGCAGCTAGAGGGGAGGCAGGCAGGGCTCTAGCCACCTCAGCACCCCAACTGGCTGCCTGACAACTACAGGGGTCAACCTCTCCAAGTCTCTGGTACTTGGAGTGGCCCTCCATTATAGATGACGTCAGCTAGGACACTTATGGGTGACTTTCAGTGGGCTCAATTCCTGCAGAACCATAGGAAAAGAGGTCTTGCAAAGGACCCAGCATAATACTTCATCCAGCCTGGTCATCTGTAGAAACCTATACAAGAAAGTGGCAACTCCAAGCTAGAATTCAGTTTTCTGACTAGACCAGCATTGGGAGGCTCAAACCCGTAAAACCAACATTTGGGAAGCTGTGGAAGGTTGCTACTGGAAAGGCCAGAGCAACAGAGTGAGACCTGATTCAAAAACAAACAAAAGCCAAGTACAGTCTTGCAAGCCTGTAATCCCAACACCTGGGAATCAGAGGCAGAAGATCTAGAGTTCAAGCTCATCCTCAGCCACAAAATGACTTTGAGGCCAGTCTGGGCTACAATGAGACCCTGTCTCAGAAAACAAAACAAAACTAGAATTTGAAAATACCCTTAGGGGCAGTAGGGCTATAAATACATTGTACTGTATTTATAACTAATAAAGCTAAATCGAAGAATAGTCTTTAGTTCCTATACTTAGGCATATAATGAAATTTTAGATAACGATCTTTCTTTCTTTCTTTCTTCCTTTCTTTTTTTTAAGACAGGGTGTCTCTATGGTTCTGGCTGTCCTGACACTCACTATGTAGACCAGGCTGGCCTCAAACTCACAGAGTCTCTTAGCTCCGCCTCCTGAGTGTTTGGCCCTATACCTATACAGTGTCTTGAAAGGATGGAGGAAGGAACTGGTGCAGCATGACATAAAATGAAGGTTAAAGGGTAACTCCTGAGAGCTGGTCCTCTCCTTCCACTAAGCTGAGTCCGCAGGGCAAACCTGGGTCATCAGGCTGGATGGCAGGTGCCTTTAACTGGTGAGCCGGCTCTCCAGCCTCCAGTACTGTTTGGAGGTTGGCCTGACTACATCTAACAAAGTCAACCCAAATCAGCCTAAGTTTCAAATACAAAACACTGTTCTGAAGACGCTTCTAGATTTGTGGGGGCTGAGACTTATAGTGAGGTGGTAGATCCCTTAATTCCTATGTGTAAGGCCTTAAGTCTAACATCCCCACCCCACAGACTGCAAACCAAATAATGTGGATTGTCAGGATGTCAGAGTCAGGCCCTGCGGACAAAGGGCTGCTAAGTAATGCTGGCACGCAAGCACATCCCAGTCCAGAGCATGCAACAGGAGTGTCATGACTAAGAGGTGACTCTAAGGACTTCAACCTTGGAACCCACCCAGACTGTCAGCCTTAGCACTCAGTTGCCAGAACCTCTTCAGTTCACAGCTGCATCTGTTAAACCGTCCTTCTCCTTCTTGCAAAGACAAAGGCTTACTGAATTATCTATCCACACAATGGATAACTCCCAAGGAACATGGGAGTTATATGACAGGAAAAACCATCTACTCACAATACTCCTTCACCCCTCTGTTCTCCAATCACTACTTGAACCACCATTTTATACCGGTCATATCCCAGTTCTAGAAAGGAAAAGAAAAGGAGGTTATCTCTATTCAAGTACGTAGTAAAATGACCTACAGAACACAGATTCTTCCAGAAACACGTAAGCACTCAGTCCATGGGTACTTACGGAGTACGCTAGTGAGATCAGAGGTCCAAGACCTAGAGATAAACCCTAGCTATCAAGTTACCGAGCAGTAAACCCTTAGCGCCTTACTTTCCCTTTAAATGTCTCCAGTCTGTTAAAGGGGGTGCTCTCAGCTGTTAGTCGTTGTAAGGTGAGCTGAGGTTCGGTATAATAACACACAAAGCTCCTAACCTAGTGCTGGTACATTAGGGTCTTTAGCGAACCTTGGCCCCTTTCTGAGATTACCCTTCAAGTTATAGAAATAAGAAAACATTCTTCTTGCCTTGGGGACCAGAGAGCTCATAACAGAACTCAAAGATAGACAAAAAATAACATTTATTTCAGGAGGGGCATGTACAAGGTGTACCAGTGCTGGGAGTTCTTCACTGTGTTGGGGGGAGCGGAGTGGGGGGGGCGCAAGATCAGAAAAAACTTCACAGAAAATGTGCTAAATAGTAGGAATTTGCCAGGTAAAGAGAGTCTTCATTCTATGGAGAGGGAATAACAAACACAATTGAGACTGGGGCTGGAGAGATGGCTCAGAGGTGCAGAGTGCTTGCTGCTCATGCAGAGGACCCGAGTGTGATCCTCAGCACTCACATCAGCAGCTCACAACCACCTCTATCTTCAACTCCAGGGAATCTGATGCCCCGTTCCACAGGCACACAGGCATAGAAATTAAAAAATAAAACTAGGTAGCTGGTGAGAATGGGATCTTCAGGAGACGTAGCTGTGCATTAAGGTGGGGAGGAAGAAAAGGAAGGAGGAGAAAGGAAAGAACTGCACGTGTAACCCAGCACTCAGGAGGCTGCAGGAAGAGGATTTCAAGGTCAGGATTCACGACAGCACAGTAAACTGGACAAACGACCTGAGGACCACAGATACTGTCCAGGGGCAGCGTCAACAAAATTCTTAGAAGAGAGCCCAGGTTGTTGTTGTGGTTGTTGTTGTTGTTGGTTTGTTTTGTTAGAACCATGAACTCTGTACAGCCCTTGCTGATCTCACACTCTTATTAACCTTCCTGCTTCAGCCTCCTGAGTGCTGTAACTACAGGTGGACACCACCACCCCGCTCTCCAAATTATTGTTTTAAGAACACTGCACCCTCACTGAGATTCCCCCTTCTCTCTGAATCCCTAACGGCACAGAAACATAAGTGGGACACTCAATGCTTAGCCCTGACATCATCATTCTGAAGGAGAAAAAAAAAGGCTTTTTTAAAGATTTATTTTTATGTAGATGATGGGTGTCTTGCCTGCAAGTATATATATGTAGCATGTACATGCCTGGTGCCCATGGAAGCCAGAAGAGAGCACTGGATCCACTGAAACTAGAGTCATGAACTACCATGTGAGTGCTGGGATCCGAACCCAGGTCCTCTGCAAAAGCAGCAAGTGCTCTCAATCACTGTGCCATTTTTCCAGCCCAAAATATTCTACTATAGTAAGAGAACTTCGAGAAGCTGCATTTAAATACGTAAAAATGCACTCAAGCGTATGAGGCAGGAGGATCACCCAGTGTTTGAAGCCAACCTGGACAGAGGAAGACCTATCTTGGAATAAAATAAAGAAATAAAGAAAAAATAAACTTACAGATATTTAGCATGAATGGGAAGTAACAGCTTGAGTAGGTGACACTAAGAACTGTTGCCTAGCCAGGCAGAGGCAGGCAGACCTCTGAGTTCGAGGCCAGCCTGGTCTACAGATTGAGTTCCAGAACAGCCAGGGCTACACAGAGAAACCCTGTCTTAAAAAACAAACAAAAGAGAATACTGCAAAGGGTAAGCTAATTGAATGCCTTCAAAGTATTCCCAACTGGTGAATTTCGTTCTCGATGTTATTTATAGTTGCACTTGACTCTGAGGCACTGGAGCACTCGTTCATTTCAGCAGGCTAAGCATGACTATTTCTGTGATATAGCAGCACAAATATTATAAATATGTGCCTAAAGTACTTTCTTTGGTAGTGAATTGAGTCCCTTAAAAGAAATGTCAATTAATATTAACTGTGTCATCAACACTGTACCCCAGTGTTTATTTCTACGACACGTGTACTTTCTTAACCTGCTGTTGCTAATAATGCCTCTTGTTTTCCATTGAGTGTATACACTCCAGAAGAAATGTAGTTTTATATTAATCATGTAAGTATTGCAATACTAAAGATACTGTGATTTTGTTGGTTTGTTTTTTGGTTTTGGTTTTTGGAGACAGGGTTTCTCTGTGTAGTTTTGGTGTCTGTCCTGGATCTTGCTCTGTAGCCCAGGCTGGCCTCGAACTCACAGAGATCCGCCTGGCTCTGCCTCCCGAGTGCTGGGAATAAAGACGTGCGCCACCACCGCCCAGCTGCCATTTTCATGTACTGGATGAAAATGGAATACTGTTTTCAGAACAAATCCTCCACTCTTACAGAGTGGCCTCAATGGAATAAAAATGGTGACATGTTACCAAATAAAATGAAAAGACAGGAAAAGATAAAAGGAGGTGAGCGCTGGGTTTGTGACTGTGACTCGACGGTACAACTCTTGCCTGGCACGCAGGAGGCCTTGAACTCCACCCCAGCAGTACAAAGGGGGATGGCACAGATAGAAGGAAGTCACTCTCTGATGGTGTGACATTAAAAATACGGCATGATGGCACATCCCTTTACTCCCAGCACTCATGTGACAGAGGCAGGTGAATCTCTATGAATTCCAGGCCAGCCTGGTCTACAGAGTGAGTTCCAGGCCAGCAGAGCTACACAGTGAGACCCTGTCTCAAAAGGTATTTGTTAGCAAGAGACAAAAGGACAAATTATATTATGCATATGTTTGGCTGAATAAGAAAAGCAGTTAAGCAGCCGGGCGGTGGTGGTGCACGCCTTTAATCCCAGCACTCGGAAGGCAGAGCCAGGCAGATCTCTGTGAGTTCGAGGCCAGCCTGGGCTACCAAGTGTGCTCCAGGACAGGTACCAAAACTACACAGAGAAACCCTGTCTGGAAAAACCAATAAATGAAAAAAAGAAAGGAAGAAAGGAAGAAAGGAAGAAAGGAAGAAAGGAAGAAAGAAAGAAAGAAAGAAAGAAAGAAAGAAAGAAAGAAAGAAAGAAAGAAAGAAAGAAAGAAAGAAAGAAAGAAAGAAAAGAAAAGCAGTTAAGGATTCAGCAAGAAGTGGGCCTGGGACAGCCTGGGAGGCACAGGACAGCCCGGGAGGGTACTCAATGCCAGACTGACAATCTATAGTGGGCCTGGGACAGCCTGGGAGGCACTGAACACCAGACTAAACAGTCTACAGGCTGGTGGGGAAAAACAAGCAGTAATTTTACAGGGGAAAGGAGGCCTTTCTGATTATCTAGGTTTCTTGGGCATTGGTTCCCTATGATGCTTTCATTCAAATCTTTCCTCTTTCCTACAGTCTGCAAAATCCCACCTGAGTAAAAGTCACCAAATAATTATAGAATTCTAGACACTGAAGAAAATTTTGTCGTTAATAGAATGCATAATTCATGTCCTGGGTTCAAAGATGGGGCAGGGTGCCAGATGGGCAGTGGTGGCCCATGCCTTTAATCCCAGCATTCAGGAGGCAGATCTCTGAGTTCAAGGCCAGCCTGGTCTACAGAGTGACTTCCAGGATAGCCAGGGAAACTCTGTCTCAAAAAAAAGGGGGGGGGGGGGGGAGACAAATGAGTAGAACTGGGTGTTTGAAGGGAACATCATTTCCAGCTAGAGCCCATGTTACCTTTTAGTTTATCTTTAATGAGTTCTGATAGATGTTTTGTGAGATGAGGCATTTCATCTGGAGAATATTCAGCACTTGCCAGTTCCTCCTTGAGCACGGCATGGATGCAGTCTTTAACCACAGAGGGTCTAAACCTAAGTCAAACAATTTGAGAATATCTAAATGTCAGCTCAGAACCCCAACGTGCCTTCACACATCAGCCTTTTTGTCATCAGTAACCTTAAAATACTGTATGTACCTGGGAGGTGGTGGCACACACCTTTAATCCCCAGCACTCGGGAGGCAGAGGCAGGCGGATCTCTGTGAGTTCGAGGCCAGCCTGGGCTACAGAGTGAGTTCCAGGACAGCCAGGGTTACACAGGGAAGCCCTGTCTTGAAAACCAAAACATAAATAAATAAATGAACTACTGTATCTAGGGTCTGGGGTGCAGCTCAGTGGTAAAGACTTGCCTCGCATGCCTGTGGCTCCGTTTTCAGTCCCTAGCGCCGCCCCCCGCCCAACACTGTCATTTACCGCTTTCCTTAAGCCCTTCTTTCTGTCTCACATTTATTCTGTGTCATGGCCTGTGTGTGGGAATCGGCTCTTTCCCTTCACTACCTAGGTCTCCAGGACTGAACTCAAGGCCATCAGGTTTGAAGTCGAGTGCCTTTACCAGCCGAGCCATCTCACTGGCCTGCTTAAGCTTTTTCTCGCTCTTGTTTTATGATTTTATTTATTTTTAGGCCTGTGTGGATGGATGGATGTGCACCACATGTAACACTTGGTGCCCTTGGAGTTACAAACAGTAGCATGCTGTCACGTGGGTGCTGGGAACCAAATCTGGCACTGCGCAGGAGCGGCAAACACTGTTAATCACTCGCCAGCCCCTGCTTATGCTCTTTCCATCTTTCATAAAACACTAAGCCTCTCTTCAGACAAGTCTCATATGAACTCACAGGATCGTTGGTACATATGTTACTAACCCCGTTCTGCACTGTTCACAAGAGAAACACAGTTCAGTGCCATTCTATACATTTAGAACATTTCCTGAGGTAACTGAACATACATTTTTATATATCCATGGGAAACTGCTGCATGAAGTTGCTATCACATATAGTAGGACTAGCTCTACCTTTAAAAAAAAAAAAGATTTACTTATATTTTATGTTTATGGTGTTTTGTTTGCATGTATGTCTGTAGAGGCCAGAAGATAGCATCTGATCCTCTGGAACCATAGTTACAGGTGGTTGAAAGCTGCCATGTGGGTGCTGGGAACTGAACCCTAGTCCCAGCCCTCTGGAGTAGCCAGTGCTCTAAACCACTGAGACATATCTCCAGCCCTTCACCTTAGTTTCTGAGGCAGGGTCTCTCACTAGGACTTGCAGGAAAGGCTGGGATGGCCAGGGAGTTCCAGAGTCCATTTCTCCAATACTGAGATCAAATTTCCACCACTGGGATCACAAGATGCAATGCTCTTTAACGGGTGCAGGAATTGTTATTTTGTCTTTTTTTTTTTTTTCAGAGCTGACGACTGAACCCAGGGCCTCGTGCTTGCTAGGCAAGCGCTCTACCACTGAGCTAAATCCCCAACCCCGGGTGCAAGAATTGAGCTCAGGACTTTATGCTTTCAGAGCAAGCACATGACAGACAGAACTATCTCTACAGTACTCCACCAATCTACAACCCCTCCGAGAATTAAAAAAAAAAAAAGGCCGGGCGGTGGTGGCGCACGCCTTTAATCCCAGCACTCGGGAGGCAGAGCCAGGCGGATCTCTGTGAGTTTGAGGCCAGCCTGGGCTACCAAGTGAGTCCCAGGAGAGGCGCAAAGCTACAGAGAAACCCTGTCTCGAAAAAAAAAAAAAAAAAAAAAAAAAAAAATCCTCTCTTAGGCCCAGTGAGATGGCGTAGCTGGTAAAGACCCTTGCAGCCAAGCCTGACGACCTAAATTTAATCTCAGGACGCACATAATGGAAGAACAGAACAGAACAAATTCCCACAAGTTGCCCTCTGACCACAAGTGCACAGTAGCATGCGTGCACCCTACACACAACCCTTTTTCTTTTGTAAGATGAAGTTAGTGATGGATCCTACAGGCTTAACTGACCGCCCTCTTCTAGCAACCAATTGGGGTGGCGGTCGATGCTATACGGGAGGGGCTCTGTATAGACGCTGCACAAGTCCCGCGCCAGAAGTAAACGTATCCCGGTACAGGTGAGCAGGCGGTAACTCTCGGAGTACCGCCTCCAAGTTCATTGCTTCCAGCCTCTCTCTCTTTTTCCTGTCCCCGGTGCGCACCCACTAACGCCCCCGAGAGGTCAACCTCTCCTACGCGCTAATCTAGGGCTCCCCGGAAGACCTGCCAATCCACAGCAGCGCTCGCCTCGCCCAGCCCCGCCCCTCTCCGCGTCTCCTAGGCGACGCTCGATAGCCGGAGCCCGACTCCTGACCAACGTCGCCCGCCGTGCCCGGTCCGCTACGCGCCTTTGCTGAAAAATGGGCCTCAGAATATAGGTGTTCTCGGGCTCCCCCGAGCTCCTGTCGGCATCGAACAAGCCCTCGGCGCCGCCGACCGATAAGGACGGGCCGCGTGTGGACGCGGCCATAATCGGGCGTCTGAATCCAGAGGATCTCTAGAGCTAGGCCCGGGCGGTTGCTGCGGCCCCCCAGGTCCCGAAGCGCGTCTCCAGAGCAACGGGTCGCTCACGTGACATGCCACAGCCCCCGCCCCCTCTCTGCGCCTGCGCACTGGCTGCGTCTGAGAGTCGTTAAGGCATCTACCACCCTCTTGCAGCCAGCGAGCCGCCGGACCAAACCCAGCCCAACTTCCTTTTGTTTCCTCTGTTCCTGTTTTTTCTTTTTTTGAGACAGGGTGCATGTAGCTCAGAGTGGCCTCGAATTCGCTAGTAGCCGAAGGTGCCCCTGAACTCCGACCTCGACTTCCCCCGGTTTGCGATAACGGGGATGCAACAACGTGCCAAATTTTATTCTGGAGCTAGAACTCTACCGAGTCACATCCATGCACACTGTCCCTTCTGGTTTTTGACAATTTGTGAATTAAAAGGAGACATAAGTAGAATGCATATATATGATTTTTGTTTTGTTTTCTGAGGCAAGTTTTTTTTTAATTGAATTTTTTATACACTATATTCTTATGCTTTTTCCCCACCCACTAGGTCCTGCCCACCTCCCTGTCAGATCCGAAGGAAACTCTAATTCTCTGAACTCCAAAGGGCAGCCCAAATATCCAGAAACGAGCTCAAGCTGGACTATAGGAATTCTGGCTGTGAGATAAAAGCCAGCATTCCTCAGGAACTTGTGAAACCGGTTCCCTTACCTCTGGCAGAAAGGACATGTCTTCCCAGGCTTTTATCAGCTTATCAAAGTGTATACTGGCCACCAGGCTCCCTCACAGATAGCTCTGGCCACATCCAGTCTCCTGGCCATGTTCAGTCCACATCTTTCTCTCTGCTCTGGACTCTTTCAAATGCCTCTGGCTGTTCTCTCATATCTATAATAAAGACCTTAATCACGGCATGTTCGCAATTTCTTTACTGTCTCCCTTGAAAACACTTCCCACCTCACCCTCAATTCAAGGCCCTTTCTCTTAAAAAAAAAAAAAAAAAAGCCGAGTGTGGTGACACATGCCTTTAATTTCAGCATTCTGGAGGCAGAGGCAGGCAGATCTAGGAGTTTGTGGCCAGCCTGTTCTAGAGAGGGAGGGTAGGTTGATAAGATATACCCCAAACAAAGCAAAACGAAGCAGAAAGTATACCCAAATGCCATTGATTTCTGTGTAAACTGATGCCACGACTGCTCCATGATACGGTTAAGGTTTTCACTGTAGATAGAAGAGAACAGCCAGAGACATCTGAAAGCGTCTAGAGCAGAGAGAGAAAGAAGATGGTCAGCAGACTGGGCATGACAAGGCTACCCGAGAGAGGGGAGATCATCGGGACAGGGATAGAGAAATGTGGTGGGAGAAGCAGGAGCAGAGACAAGACAGCAAGAATACCAGGGTTATAAGGAGAAGGAGTAGCTGGGGCAGGGAAGCCCATGAGATGGAGGGGATTTAGGGAAGGGGAGGAAGGGAGAAGGGCTAGGATGCCAGCGTAGACTTTGAAATATGTAACAGGTACTTGTGATGCTGAGGGAGCCTGGAGGCCAGCGTGGGTTTTGATATGCTGATCGGCCCCACAGGTAACCATATGCCCCTTCTGCTAGAGATAAGGGGAATGCCTTCTTTTGGCCAAAGGGAACCAGTTTTACAAGTTCCTTAGGAATGCTGGCTTTTATCTAACTTCCAGAAATCCTCCTATAGTCCATGGTAAGCTTGTTTCTGGATATTTGGACTGACTTTTGGAGTTTGGGGAACTGGAGTTTCCTTTGGGCGTGACACGTTCATTTTGTGATGACCAACTATTCCTGGGCATGGAGTCTACCCTGCAGTGTGTTTAATATTCCCAGTGAGTCTCACTGGAGGAACCTAATTTTCCTTCGCCAGAGGGTAGCAATCACAGATAGCTTCTTGGTTAGGGATAGGAGCTTGTGTTCATTTTTTACTGTTCAGTTCTGGCACCCTGTCTGGCTTGAACCTGTGCAGGTCTCGTGCATGCTGACACCGTCTCTGAGTTCCTATGTGTCTCAGTCGTGTTGTGTCTGGAAGACACTGTTTCCTTGGAGTCACCCATCACCTCTGGCTCTACAGTCTTTCCACCTCCTCATCAGAAGAGATCCCTGAGCCCTGAGGGGAGGACTGAGTCTTTAAAGACTCACTTTGCACACTGTCCAATTGTGGGTCTCTGTGTTAGTTCCCATCTACTACAAGAAGAAGCTTCTCAGATGATGGTTGAGCAAGACACTGATATATGGGTATAACAGAACGTCACTAGGGGTCATTTTATTTGCACTGTTCCTTTAGCAGAACAATAGTATTTGGTTTTCCCTAGACCTATCTAGTTTCAAGTTCTTTTTTATTTTATTTTATTTACTTATTTTTGGTTTTTCGAGACAGGGTTTCTCTGTGCAGCTTTTGGAGCCTGACCAGGCTGGTCTCGAACTCACAGAGATCCGCCTGGCTCTGCCTCCCGAGTGCTGGGATTAAAGGCGTGCGCCACCAGCGCCAGCTCAGTTTCAAGTTCTTGACCATCCTAGTAGTATTAGGCATGGGTTCCAGCTGTAGGCTTTAAATCCAAGCAGAGAGTGGTTGGTTACCCTCACGACGTTTGTGCCATTATTGTCTGCCGTCTCTTCCAGGCCGGTCACTATTGTAGGCACAGGCAGCACTCAGAACCCTTCCAGTGCCAGAGGCTAGTGAGTAGGGCTGAAGCCTCTAGTGAAGCACTAGCTTGAGCTCTCCATATTCAGTCAGTGTTGTCTCCAGCAACAGGGCCTTCCCATCAGTTGAGGCAAGGTTTTGATAGGTATAGCCTGCAGTTCTACCCTGGCCTCCAGGGTGCTGGGATTACAGGCATCACAACGATCCCGATTTTATATTTTTGTAATAACTGTTAAGTCAAAAGAAAAAACAAAAAGCAGAACATGGTGTGGTGGCACACTCCTATAATTCCAGTGTCAGGAGGCCAGCCAGGACCAAGAATGAGACCATTTCAAAACAAAACAGAAAGAAGAAATGGTATTTGTGACAAGTGAGGATTACAGAAATTGAAAGTGCTTTTGTTGTTGTTGTTTTTTTCCAGACAGGGTTTCGCTGTGTAGCCTTGGCTGTCCTGGGACTCACTCTGTAGACCAAGCTGGCCTTGAACTCGGAGATCCACCTGTCTCTGCCTCCCAAGTGCTGGAATTAAAGGCATATGCCACCACTGCCTGGCTCAGAAATTGAAAACTTTACTGAAACTTTCATTAAAAATTTCCAAAACTTCTTCTTTGTATAAAATCACTGGAACACAACATACTCATTTACATCTTCCTGGCTGCTTTCATATTTCTGAATATGCAGAAATGAACACAAGGACTATATGACCCTCAACACCTAAAATCTTATCTGCCCCTTAAACAAAAAGTTTGCAGAGCACAGCTCCAAACCCTAATCGCAGCCTGGGTCATTTTGCTGCATCTATTCCACACCTGCTCTGGCGCACAAATCAGGAAGGAGCAGGTTTAGGCTGCTTCAGGATTACAAGCACCAACCCTGGATCCTCTCTTAAAGGCTATAGATCTTGACCCCTTTGTTCTTCAAAAACTAAGAAGGCTGTAGAGATGGCCTGGTAGTTAAGAGCACTTACTATTCTCACAGAGGACCTGAGTTGGGTTCCCAGGATTCAAATCAGGCAGCTTACAATTGCCGGTTCCCAGGATTCAAATTAGGCAGCTTACAATTGCCGGTAACTCCAGCTCTAGAGGGGATCCAATGCTCTGGCCTCTGAGGTCACCTGCACTCATGCATACATACCTACATAGACAGACAGACAGACAGACAGACAGACACACACAGACACACACACACACACACACACACACACACGTAATTTTAAAACTAAGAGAAAGACTCTCCCCTGGTGTCCATCCAAGCTCCTTTTGTAACCTTCAACCTGATGGTTTTATTAAGTTCCAAAATAGCCAGGTGGTGGGGGCACATGCCTTTAATCCCAGCACTCGGGAGGCAGAGGCAGGCAGATCTCTGTGAGTTCGAGGCCAGCCTGGTCTACAGAGCAAGTTCCAGGACAGGCTCCAAAGCTACAGAGAAACCCTGTCTAGGGGGTGGAGTGGAGTTCCAAAATGTCTTTTATGACATTCAGAGGGGTAGTTGCTGGGGAAATACCCTGTTACAAGTTCCAGCGGAGACTAATTTTACTATTCAGATTTTGGTTCAAAATGTTCCTTCTTCAGCTAGACATAGTGGCACATTTGGGAGGTGGAGGCAGAAGGATCAGGCGGAGTACAAGACCATCCCCAGCTATATGGTAAGTGTGAGGCCAGCTTGAGCTGCATGAAACTCTGTCTCAAAACAAGAAACAAAAACCATATTCAGGGAGCCTAGATTGATGTCCCTGGTTCTAATTCCCAAACCCCACTTTCCCTGACCATCCTTTGGAATGCCTCAGAGTGGCTTTCCTATGTCCCTATGACATCTTTCCGTGGCTCCTATGGCTGTCCTCTAGCATTCAAACTACTTTGCCTGTGGGTAACATTCCTCATGATCTGACTGGCTGGTTATGCCTTCCTCCTGGCACTGGCCAGCATACTGAGATCTGTGGAGAAAGACCACCAGCAGGGTACACAGCCCACACCAGCTCAGTGCTCACAGCCTCTTGATGAGTCCCTTGGCTCAACAGCAGCAGCCCTGTCTCTGGCATGAGCCTTGCCTCCATAGACAAGCTTGAAATCTGACACCGTGGTGCTTTGAATGAGAAGGGCCCCCATAGACTCCTACATTTGAATGCTTGGTCTGAAGTTGGTGAACTGTTTAGGAAGGATTAGGAGGAGGCGTGGCACTGGAAGTGGGCTTTGAGGTTTCAAAAGCCCATGCCAGGCCTAGTCTCTTTCTCTCTGCCTCCAGACTTTCAGATAAGATACAAAACTCTCAGCTACTGCTCCAGCACCTTGCCTGCCTGCCTGCTGCCATGCTCTCTGCCATGGTGATCATGGACTCACTCTGTGTAACCGTAAGCCTCAGTAAACTTTATAAATTGCCTTAGTCATGGTGTGTCTTCACAACAGGAGAGAATAACTGAGACACCTCTCACCCCTCTTTGCTGGACTAACTCTTCCAAATACCATCAGCTCAGAAGCAACCAAAGCCTCTTCCTTAGGCTTTCTCTGGAGCTCACTGTTCTTCTGAGCAATTTGGCACCTGTGTTCAGTGCTAACACAGTTCTTACCATATGATGCCCGAATTATGACAACTGGACCATCAGTCTGAAGGGCAGGGCAGGGACCAAGGGCAAAGAGTTTGTCTCGGGCACCTGTGGATTGGATTGACAGCTTGTGCATCCGTGCAGACATACAGGGGGTACCCAGAATACTGTATACTACTGCGAAGAGCCCTGGTCTGCTAGGGCCGCTCTAACAGATTTCCTCAGTCTGGGTGGACTAGTCAACAGAAGTCTGTGGTTGTTGCCAGTTGAGACAAGTACTTTCTATTCAGCCAAGACTGGCCTTGAGTGCATGATTCTCCTGCCTCAGGTTCCTGAGTGCTGGTCTTATAAGCATGAACCGCCATATCCATATTTTATGGCAGTTCAGTAAGTTAGAAATTGAAGATCAAGGTAAGAGCAGATTAGATTTCTATGGAGGCTTGTCTCTTCAGATTGCAGATGGCTGACTTTTTTTTTTGGTTTTTTTTTTTTTTTTTGGTTTTTCGAGACAGGGTTTCTCTGTGTAGCTTTGTGCCTTTCCTGGAACTCACTTGGTAGCCCAGGCTGGCCTCGAACTCACAGAGATCCGCCGGCCTCTGCCTCCCGAGTGCTGGGATTAAAGGCGTGCGCCACCACCGCCCGGCTTGTTTTGTTTTTGAGACAGGGTTTCTCTATGTAGCACTGGAGTCTATCCTGGAACTCACTCTGTAGCCCAGGCTGGCCTCAAACTCAGAGACCTACCTGCCTCTGCCTCCCTAGTGCTGGGATTAAAGGCATGGCCACCACCGCCTGACAGATGGTTGACTCTTGCTCAGTCCACCCCCACCCACACACCATCCTCCTTCTCCTTCTCATCCTTTAAAAAAATTGAGGCTGGCGGCTGAGAGATGGGTCAGTGATGAAGAATACAACCTGCTCTTCCAGAGGACTCAGGTTTCAATTCCCAGCACCCTCATGGTAGCTCACACCATCTGTAAGTCTAATTTCAAAGAATCTCACACCCTCATCTGGCCCCTGCAGATGCATGCAAGGACACAGACACACATACAGGCCAAACATCCATGTACACAAATAAAATAAAACACATTTTAAATTAAAAATTACATTTATTTAATTTGTGTATGGGGTAGGAGTTGTGCATGTGCCACAGTGTGTGTGTGTGTGTGTGTGTGTGTGTGTGTGTGTGTGTGTGTGTGTGTAGAGGTCAGAGGACAATTTACAGGAGTCTGTTCTTCCACCACATGGTTCTGGGGATTAAAGCTCAGGTCTTCAGGCTTAGCAGCAGGCATCTTTATCCAGTGAGTCACCTTCAGTGGTCCCTCTTTTGAAATGGCTTAGGAAAGGTCAGCTTACCCTGAGCCCACATCTCCTCTCTGGAGTCTCATCTTGCATGTAAACAAAGGATTCTCCCTCCTTCTGATAAAGGATGCTCGAGGGTGTTTCATAGGTCAAAGGTTCCTTCTTCCCTGCTAGAAGAGGGACAGATGCAATGGAACCATTTCTCTAAGAACTGACACCTGTATGATGTTTTACAATCAAAGGTTTCCTCCCTCCCTTCTGGAAAAGGGTCCACCTGCACCTGGTGGGATGTGATTGCAGCCTTCAGACTTTAAGAACCCTATCCTTGCTTCCCTACCAAGAGTTTTTCTGAGGCACTTGCCTGCTCTTGATCAGCAGCTAATAAAAGACCCAGAATACTCTTAATAGTCTTCATTGGCTTAATAAGCATGGTGATCTCTAACTTTCTTTCATGGAGTACTTCCGTCCATCTGTCTGTCCATCCGTCCGTCCCTCCCTCCCTTTTCCAGTATTGGAGACTGATCCCAGAACTCTGCTCTGTTGTAACAGTAAGCTACATCCTTGGCCCTATTATTTTGAGACAGGGTTTCTCTAATTTGCCCAGAACTCCCATCCTCCCTGCCTCATCCTCCTGAGTTTATTTTGTTTGTTTGAGACAGGGTCTCAATATGTAGCCCAGGCTGGTCTAGAACCGATGATCCTCCTGACTCCACCATGCCCAGCTTCTTGCTCTTCCTGCAAGAATGTCAATCCTACTGGATCAGGACCTCACCTTTATGACTTCATGTATCCTTGATTACCATGTAAGGCCCTGTCTCCAATACAGTCACATTGGTGATAAGGGTTCCCATCTATGATTCTGAGGAAACGCAATTCTGTCTATTACAGTTGTAAACTTGAATTTAGAATTTGAAGGTGTTCAGTTGGAACCTTCAACTTGCTCCTGCGTGGTCTGAGAAGCCCCATCTCCTTCTCTCCAAACCCCACCCTCTCAGAGAATCTCCAAGAAAGAAAAAGCACCAAAAAGTCCAGTTCTGCATTCTTGGCAGCTGTGACAATTCCTCCAATGAAGTTGCTAGCAGCCCAAGTCCCCACCTAAAGTGCTCAGCTTTTGACCATACTTGGACACAAACCCAGCTTGTGGCAGATGCGTCATCACCCCTCATCTACAGGCTATATAACCTCCCTGCTTTAGTTCAGGTGCATGACTTCTCTGGCCTCGTTCTCTGGGACTGGAGAACTCACCCAGGAGTTGCTTTGCTCAAATAAACCTGTTCTTTTACTTTTTCAGTTCAGCTTGATCTGGCTTACTGCATCAGTGGAGAAAACCTATTATCAGGGTTCATAAGGGGTTCACGTAGTTGTGTGTATGAGAGTCTCAGCTTCTCTGTCTTAATATGTGGCCAACCTTTATGGGGTTGTCAAGAAGCTGAAATGAAATCATTTTAACGAGTTAAAAAGTTCCTCCCTATACACTAGCAATGACCTTGCTCTTTCTCTTACGGTGTCATCTTCAAAGTACACAGCATGACTTTCATTTTATTGTATCATTCCCCCTATGTGCAAGAAAGTGCTGGTGGCCTATAGGAAGGCCTCAAAGGGAGTCACACCCTATTCTTGCAGAAAGGGTTGGAGGAAGCATGTAGTGAGAACACTGGTTCCTGAAAGGACATCCTTTACCTAGGACTTCTCACAGAAGCTGCAGAACAGGCCAAGGATGCTATTGATGAGATGGATGGCCACCAGGAGAAGCTGGAGGAGGCTGACACACAGGAGGGTGGAAAAGAAGGCCACATGCCAAACCACAGCCTTAGAGGGCTCCAGGCAGACGGAGGTCCAGAGTGAGCGGTCATACAAATAGTTCCTAGACCCAAGAATAAGGGGGTCAGGGGTGGGGAAATAAACAAAAATACCCAATCAAGGAACTCCAATAGAAAACACAGGACTGGGACTCCCCTGGCCCAGGTCAGGGGACTGTGCTTGTGAGGGTGACCATTACCTGTTGGGCAGGTCTTTGAAGGGATAACCAAATTTCCAAGCTTGTGTCTGATTGAAGGATGAGACATCAAACATGCAAAAGGGACCGTCTTTCAAGGCTGCTCCAGAAGTGACAAAGCAAACCAAAGCCCCAAGAAGAGCCAGGCCACTTGACAACAGGGCGATGAGCATCTGTAGAGGAAGCAGGGGACAGAGCTTACACAGAGCTGTGGTCAGGGGCCTGGTGGGGTGACACGGTCAATTCTAACTTCTCTGGTGGCCAGGCATTCTCGCACCCTACGTGGGAGGGTGCGGGGTGACACATTCCTTTAAAACATGTCCCAGGGTGGTTGATGAGGTGTCTAAGAAGAAACTGTTGAGAAAGGCCAGAAAGACAGACAGACAGACACATGGATCTGCAGCTCCTCACTGCACAGGGTCTTTGGACTCTCTAGCAGGTTGATATCTCCTTGCTAGGCTACTGCAGTGACTCAGCTGTGAACTAGCAAACTGCTTAGTGCAGGTCCACTTTCTCCTCAAATTCCCACTCTTGAGCTCTTTTCAAATCAAGCATAAAAGGGAGGAAGGAAGCAGATGAGGAGTTGGCTCGGATGTTAGAGGACTCAGACTCTGTTATTCCGTCAGAAGCCCAAGGCCATGGCTCTCCTAATGCAGCATCAACACATCACCTGGGAATGCACAGTTGCAATGCAGACTCTCTCCAACCCACTCCAGACTTCCTGGGTCAGAAACCCAAGGTGAGACGGAGCAATTTGTGTTTTAACAAATGCTTCAGAAAATTGGATGCTCACCCAAGATTAATAGCCACTCACTCAGCCAGGTGGTAGTGGCGCACGCCTTTGATCCCAGCACTCAGGAGGCAGAGGCAGGCAGATCTCTCAGTTCGAGGCCAGCCTGGTCTGCAGAGTGAGTTCCAGGACAGGCAGGGCTATACAGAGACACCCTGTCTCGGGGGGGGGGGGGGGGGGGGGGGGGGAGCCACTCGCTCAGGCGAAAGAGAACAGAGAATAGTAGATGAAATGCTTGTGAATTTATATTTAATGTTTTAGCACGGAACTCAGTCGGAGGGCTTCCCGGCGTGCGTGTGGCTGTGGGACTCAGGGCAGGTCTCCTGTGCAGTGACTGTAATGAGGCGCCATGTGAGGCTGAAGAAGCAATGGGTACATATGTGCCGCTCTGTTTTTTGTCAACCTGCCACAAGCTACATTCAGTCTGGGAGGAGGGAATGTCAGCCGAGGAGCTGCCTCCATCCTTGGCCTTTAGGCAGTCTGTATGGAATTCTCTTGATGGTTGACTGAAGGAGGGGGGCCCAGCCCACTGTGGGGCGGTGCCAGCCCTGGGCAGGTGGTCCTGGGAGGTATCAGAAAGGTAGCTGACCAGTAGCCTGGATGCAAGCCAATAAGCAGCACTCCTCCATGGCCTCCTCTTCAGTCCCTGCCTTGAGTTTCCGCCCTGACTTCCCCCAGTGGTGGACGGTGACCTGGAAGTTGTGAGATGGAATAAAACTTTTCCTCCCTAAGTTGCTTTGTTTATGGTGTTTATCACAGAAGGAGAAAGCAAACTAGAATAACATACATGCATATGTGTACATGACATACATACATATGTACACACACACACATACATGGAATCCAGGGTGATCACAACTACTTAGCCCAGGATGACCTTCTCCTGTCTCCACCTTCCAAAAGTTGGTGTTAAAAAGGGGTGAGCCACCGCACTCGGCTTGAGGTTATTTTGAAAATCTATACCGATGCAGCTGTGATTAATGAAGTGTAATTTGACTCTGGTCCTGTCATCATCTGTAGAGCAGAAGAGTCAGATTATAAACTGGTGGTTGGCTTATTTCTAATGGGAAGAAAAAAGTCTGTGTGTGTGTGTGTGTGTGTGTGTGTGTGTGTGTGTGTGTGTGTGGAGGGGGTACATGTACGTGGTTTGTTTTGTTCCTTGGTCGGTTGTTTTAGTGCTGAGAACTCACTCCAGCACCTCATGCATGGTGGGCAAATGCCTCTATCACTGAGCTGTACCCCAGCCCTCTAAGAAAATATTAAACCAGCCAAGAACCAGCAGAGTGCTTCACACCTATGATCCCAACACTGGGGAGATGAGGCAGGAGGATTACAAGTTCAAAGCTAACTCCAAACTACATAGTGAAATCCTGTCTCAAGGAAAGCCCAAATGGGGGTTGGAGAAAGGATGCTCTTCAGAGGATCCGAGTTGTGTTCACAACACCCACATGACAGTGCACAACCAGAAGTAACTCCATTTCCAGAGGCTCTGACACCCTCTTCTGGCCTCCACAGACACCAAGTACACACACGGCACACAAACATACAATCAGCCAAAACACCATAAACACATGAAACCAAACAAGAAAAAGAAAAGAAAACCCAAAAATAACTAAGTAAATACATAAAAAAATAGGACATTTTCTGTCAATGATATATGATTACTGTATACTTAAATCCTATTCAGATTACTCAGTATCAGAGAAAATGACAGCTTATCACACTTATGCAGACATCTGAGGTGCATTAGCCACTTCATCCTTGGCCCTAACCCTTCCGAAGATGAGCCCGGAAAACTAAGGCACTGCCAAGAGTTTGGGGATGTTAAAGGGCGGAGTTAGGGACTGCCTTCAAGCCTGAAAGCTAAAATGCCTCTTGAGCCCTCTGCCTCTAGGGTAGAGAGTGTGAGAGTCGTGTTAAAGGTGGGGCCACTGTGCTTACACGCAGACAGGGGGCGCTCTTGCTGAAGTAGCCCGTCACGGAGATGAGAGTCGCTGCCACGAGAAACCTGGAGAGCAGAGAAGTGTGTTAAGAGGAGACCGAGTGGGGCTGGAGAGGTGGCCCAGTGGTTAAGAGCACTGGCTGCTCTTTCAGAGGACCCAGGTTTGGTTTCCAGCACACACAGTGTCTTACAACCTCTGTTACTCTAGTTCCAGAGAATCTGACGCCCTCTTCTGGTCTCTGGAGGTTCCTGCATCCACATGGTACACATACATACATACACACATAGGGTCAAAATACCCACACACAAATAAATCTGGAAGAAGAGACTGGGTTGATTTGCATTTCTAGCTGCCGCGCACAGCTGTTGAAATGGACTTAGGGCCCAGGTTGAACTTAGTCCATTTTGACTCTGTAGGTGCTAACACCCATCTAGCCCTTCCTGGTTCCAAGGTCCAGCAACCCATGACAAGTCCCCGTATTTCTTTGGGCTGCTTATGGACCCAATACCAATCTGTTGGAACACCCCGACCACCACCACCTCCTAGTTCCATCCCTGAAAGAGGCTTTGGGAATTCCCACTCACAGAACCCAAGGCATGTACGTACCATGAAACCCCCTCCCCAGAGTCCCGAGCCCAGCATGGCATGCTTGCCAATGAGACCCCTCGTCAGGTAGGTCACATCCCAGCTAGGAAAGAGGAGTACGATGTTGGCCCCAGCAGCAAACAGGGATGCAGTCCCGAGGCTCAGCCCGATGAAGCGGGAGCAGGTCCGTGAGCAGGCGGTCACACGGGGGAAAGGACAGCATCCCGGAAACGATGGCAAGAGGTCACACACAATGTGCTAGAAGACAGAACGCAGACGGCTTCTGTGAACAGGTCATATCAAGGACAGGTGAGGAGCTTATTTTGTTTTTGTTTTGTTTTGAGGCAGGGTTTCTTTGTGTAACCCTGGCTGTCCCGGAACTCACCTCTGTAGACCAGGCTGGCTTTGAGCTCAGAGATTCATCTGCCTCTGCCTCCCGAGTGCTGGGGTTAAAGGCGTGAGTCATGACACCCAGCTATGCTGAGGAGCTTTTAAAACACACTGCCTTTCAAAGCCTTCCCCAATAATTAGAGTTATGCCCTCCATTTTCTGCCAAGCATCAACCACACACATTACCAGTCCATCATATTTTGTGTGTGTCCTATTTATAACCAATGATTGTCTATTTTTTCCTTTTGAAAATTTTATTATACTTTATTAATTTAGAGAGAGAGAAAGTGAGACTGTGTGGACGTGTGTGTGTGTGTGTGTGTGTGTGTGTGTGTGTGTGTGTGTGTGGCATTCCTGTGAGACACATCACATGTGTGGAGGTCAGAGAATAACTCTCTTCAGTTTTTTTTAAAGATTTATTTATGTATATGGATGTTTTGTCTGCATGTACATACATCTATCTGCACACAAGAAAAGGCCATCTGATCCTATGAGACTACTGTTATGGATGGTTGTGAGCCACCTTATAGGTGCTGGGAATTGAACCTCGGAAAGAGTAGCCAGTGCTCTTAACCACTGAGCCATCCCTCCAGCCCCAGAGGAAATTTTTCTGTTTTCTTTTCTTTTTCTTTTTTGGTTTTTCAAGACAGGGTTTCTCTGTGTAACTTTGGTGCCTGTCCTGGATCTCATTCTGTAGACCAGGCTGGCCTCGAACTCACAGAGATCTGCCTGGCTCTGCCTCCCGAGTGCAGGGATTAAAGGCGTGCACCACCACCACCCAGCCCAGAGAACAATTTTCAAGAGTCCATTCTCTCCTTCCATCATGTGGGTCCCAGGGATTGAACTCAATTTGTGAGGCTTGGTGGCAAGCACCTTTACCTGCTGGGTCATCTCAACAGCCCAATGACTATTCCTATTTAATAAAACTTTTAAAGGTGCCGTCAAGATGCCCATTCTCCACGCTTCTAGCCAATGGTATTCATTTGATGCTGTTGTTGTTTGTTTTGAGACAGGGTCTCACTATGTAACCTTGGCTGGTCTGGAACTCAGTATGCAGAGCAAGCTCTCAAACTCAGATTTATCTGCCTCTGCATCCCAAGTGCTGGACCAAAGTTCTTATTGCTTGTCCAGTGTGATGAGAAAAAAAAAGGCATAAACAGGAAGTGACATTATTCAAAGATAATCTGGCTATATATGCAGAAAATCCTAATCAATCTATTAAGAATTACTTGAACTAATAGGTGAGTTTAGCAAGGACATAGAATAAAATATCAATACTGTATTCTATCCCTGTACAGACAATGACAAGTTGAATTTTGTTTTGTTTTTGTTTTTTGGGACAGGGTTTCTCTCTGTAACAGTCCTGGCTGTCTTGGAACTCACTCTGTAGACCAGGCTGGCCTCGAACTCACAGAGATCCACCTGCCTCTGTCTCGAGAGTGCTGGGATTAAAGGCATGCGCCACCACTGCCCAGCCAAGTTGGAATTTTTCACTTGAAAGATATTTGTGATGCACAAAACAAAAATACCTATGGCTATATTTAATAATGTGTACAGGATATGTATGATAAGAATTACAGAGCATTGTGGAGAAAAGGAAGACCTCAATGACCCAAGCCAGTGTGGCTGTGCATCTCTGTAATCCAGCTATGTGGGAAGGGGAGGCAGGAGGAGGAAGACCACCTGAGCCCAGGAGTTCAATGCTAGCCTGGGAAGGGAGAGAGGGAGAGACAGACTGGCTGACTACATACCCTGGCCATTGTTAGAGGTTTGTTTTGTTTTATTTGAGACAGGGTCTCACTATGTAGCCCTGGCTGACCTGGACTTCACTATGTAGATCAAGCTGGCCTCGAACTCACAGATATCAGCCTGCCTCTGCCTTTGGGAGTGCACCATCAACGACATCCAGTCTTGTTAGCGTTTATAAATGTATATAACTGTGGGCGAGGGTGAGAAGCAACTGGGAGGGTCCCACATTGCTGGTGAGAACGTAATGGTTAATCCGTTCCGGAAACAGTGTGGTACTGTCATGTGCCTAAACATCCACTTACCAAACCAACCAGTAATTCCTCTGCTTTATGAGAGTGCAGTGAAAATGCTTGCCCACACAAGCACTGATATTGAACGTCCATAGTAGCTACTCATAAAAGCTAAAATTAGACATATGTCAATAACCCGAGTGTCCATCAACAAAATATGTTTTATATGCATATAGGGGAACATTTAGCCATTTAAAAAAAAAAGTCCTGATCCATGATACAGGTGGCTCACACCTGGAATCCCAGTAACTTAGGAGGTTGAAACAAAAAGAACGTAAGAGTGAGGCCAGCCTGGGCTACACAGTGAGTTTCAGGACAGCCAGGACTACAAAGAGAGACCCTGCCTCAGCAGCCACAACAACAACTGAACACAAATCAGGAAAGGACCTCAAACAAACAAACTACAGTTTATGGTAAGGAGATGGTTTCCAGGGACAGCACTGAAGAGGCAGGCTCTTTCCTCAGCGGGTCCCCACAGCCCTTGGTGGCTTGGGATGCCTCTCAGTCCATGTTCCCCTCCCCCCATGCGCCTCCCTTCCTGCTGCTGTTAATTCTGTTCTGTGTGGTGAGCGGCCTTTACCAAACCCTTTCACACTGAATGGAGGAGCGGGTTCCAAGTGAAAGCATGTCTGGGTCTTGCTAGAGGAGAGGGACATGTTAGGGGAGCTGGGGGGGTGGGTATGAAGAGCCCTTTACCCAGAGACACCAGGAACCTGGAGGGAAGGAAGTGGTGAGGAGCCAGGAAAGATGATGGAGGCCTCCTTTGGAAGCCCATGCACCAGATTCAGCCTCCCAGCTCCTGTCAGGCTCTGACCCATGTCCAGCTATCGAGAGGCAAGGCCCTCTGGAAAACGTTCCTTCCCACCATGCTGGGTCCCCCCCCCCCCCCCTTGTACTGAGTTCCTCATCATCTTGTGATTTAGGCAGGCTTCCCTCCTCAGACTATCTTGCCATTTAAGGGCAGTGCTCCGCTTGCGACATTAACCCACTGTCTCTCAGAGGACTGATTTTGTCAGGGCCCAGTAAGGACTGATATGTTACTGGCCATTCGGGAATATATTTTGAACCTGGCCCTTCAGCACCTGCTCATAATTACCTGTGAGTGAGGTGTATCGAGAACCCCAATTAGCAAAACCAAACTCTCCTGTTTCTTCTCAGGAAAGTCACAGGAAGGGGTCGAAAATTATTGAGCCTGTGCCAGGCATGGTGGCACAGACCTATAACCCCAGACTTGGGAAATAGAGGCAAGAAGATTAAGAGTTCAAGGCTGCCCTCCACATAGTGAGTTTGACGCCAGCTGTGGCTACAAGAGACCATGTCTCAAAAACTCCCAAACCAAACACACAAGAAAAGACTCTCAGTTAATACTGAACTTCAGATAATCAACAAATGAATAATGCTTGAAGTCAGGCATGGTGGTGTGCACCTGTTATCCCAGCTCCTTGTTATTGGAAGCAAGAGATCTGGAGTTCAAGGCTAGCCTTGGCTACATAGTATGTTGGAGGCTAGCCTTGAGGCTAGGCTACATGAGCCTAGGCTCAAAACAAAAACAAAACAAAACCGATTTAGACAAATTAGAGGAAAAACGACAAACCTTAGTGTGGCCTTTTGGGTGAGTGGAATTCAGAGACCCTATAACTAAGCACGGTGGGCTCCCCATGTTTTGGTGAGTACCAAGCCAAAATCAGCATGGCCAAGATGTAAACGAGTGAAGAGAGATGTATTACATGTACAGTCAAGGAGAGCAAATGGGGTCTATGCATAGTGTACATAAGTACACATGTATGCTATGTACATATGAATGCTCAGTTGTCATTCTGAGCAAGCTCAAGTTAAGTCATAACCTAAAATGAAAATCTAGACTTATTTTGGAGAGTGCACATATGTAGACTCAATAGACAGAAACGTCTCTGGGCATGCTCAGCTTGCAACATAAAATTTTAAGTTATAAGTAAAGCATAGCTCTCTGAACAGATAGGTTCAGATAGGTCTCTTCTGTATCCCAGAATCGAATCAATATTTATATGTATAATTCAGCTATCATTTGGCTTAAAAGGGCTTATTGGGAAATGTTATCATTTATACTATTTTCTACAGAGAAAATATTTTACTGTTTAAAATAACCCTGGACTTTTGAATTATAACCTGTTTTTATGTTCGGGCTATCTGAGTATTATTTCTCTTGCAGTTGTACATAAAATGTTTTTACATTAAAAAAAGGACAAATACTATAGAATTGTATTACATGAAATATATAGAATATACAATTTCACAGAGACAGAAAGACTAGATGCTATCTCACGACGGAGAAGAACGGAATATAGAACAATGATTTCCTGAGTACAGAATCTCTGTTTTGTGTGATGGAAAAACCCCACAAATGGACAGGAGTATCGGGACATAATATCATGAATGTCATAAATCAACACAATTAATGTAATTAATGAATATCATAAATATAGTGATTGAATGAATACTGTAATGTAATCAATGAATACCACAAATGTAATTAGTATCATGAGTGCAATTAATAAATATCATGAGTCTAATTAAAAAATAACTTTAAAAAAATTTAAGTTAAACTAGAGGAAAAGGATACCTGCAGGAGCATTAACCCAAGAGTCTGCCCCTGAAGATGCCAGCCTTGCTTAGTCACTCCTGACCCTCAGCTGGCCTGCCCATCGGACTCTGCAGTAAGAACAAGGAGGCCCCACTCTGTCTAAAGAAGGGGTTTTGACTTTCACTTCCTCTCCATGACCTTTCTTAGAAATCACAGCACTCTGAGAAACCCTTCCA